ATCATCATCATCATCATCATCATCATCATCATCATCATCATCATCATCATCATTATCATCATCATCATCATCATCCTCACTGCCTTTCTCACCCTGGATCAGGGTATAGGCCAGAACTTTTTCATAATCCTACCATTGTTGGCAAGTTTTGTTAATGTTTGATTTGGCCATTTCTTTACCAGGATTTTCCCACACTATACGAACTGGCCCAAAATAGTCAAGGACCAGGCTTTGAGGGAGGGGGAGGGGGAGGGGAATCAAGCAATCAAATCGGGATGGAAAGAGTAGGAAGGAAGAGAAAATATGTCTTGTGTGGTAAGGAGGCAGGATTTGATCGTTTTTGTTTTTTTTAATTTTTATTTTTTTTGGGTAAAAGCGATTAACATCTCCTTGTTAGAAAAAAAACAACAACCAAAAACAACAACCTCAAAACAAAAACTCCCCTCCCTGCAAAAAAACAAAACAAAAAAAACAACACCCCCCGCCCCAATGAATTGTTGTTTATCTGTGTTTGTTTGCTCTTTGCAGGAGACGCAATGGAATGAGGATTTCGTAGACACCCCAGGCTACGCCAGCATAGGCCGGCCCTCTGCCCTCAAGTCGGCCGACTCCACCCTTAGACGGAATGGAACAGCCGGCCAGAAGAAGGTCACAATGGCGCCCGACGTAGGTCCTTACGGAGAGAGCCCGCCCAACGCTGTACAGGGGGGTGCTGGGCTCGCCGGAAGTCGACAGGACATCAACAGGAACCCTGCCTTGTACGGCGGGGCAGGGGGAAGCACTGGCTTCTACGGCGACGTAGGGGGCAGTCAGAGCGGGACTCTCACTAGGGGCGCTGGTGACAGCAGTGTGGGTACTGGAGGGATCCGTATCACCCACCTAGACGGCAGTCAACCTTTCCCTTCACCCGGAGGTCATGTGTATCAGACGGCTGGGCCAGGCCATGTTGTGTACTCCGGGGGTGGCAGCTCGGCCAGTAGCTCTATAGACACTTACGCTTACCCTAGAGGTGGTACGCTTCAAAGTGGACCTGAGTCGGGCTTCAGTGAGGTTTCTTCTAGATCCTTCCGTCAAGACGGCTCAGGCTATGACGCAAGTGGGTCTGGGTCTCAGTATTCCACTATCAGATCGATCCCCGTGACCCATATCGTAACGGACGCCCAGAAACAACAGCAACAGCAACAGCAGCAGGAGACAGTTGAGTACGCACGCGTGAACAAGCCAGCCCGGAATGTCCAAACGATTGCAATGGACGTGGGTGGTCCTCAGCAAGGCTTCGTGGTCCAGAGTGCCGGTGGAGGTCAACACGTGCAATCCTTCAGCTCCCAAGGTAGCAGCAGCATCAGCAGCAGCGGCGGCGGTGGTGGTCAAGTCCAGCATCAGATGCAAGGCCAGAAGTTCCCGGTGAACCTGGAAGACTTTGACTACGACAATCCTGTAGAACGCACGCCCATGATCCCACCCAAACAGGGCCAGCTCCAGGGCCAGTCGTACCACGAGCAGCAGATGCAGTACCAGCGACAGCAGAGAATGAGAAGCCAGCAAGACCTGCACGCCCCCAGGCAGCTCCACACGCAGAGCCTGCAGCGGGAGTATGCACGCAACCCTTACGTCGTTCAGCAGCAGCCCTTGTTGCTGCACGATCAGCACTTCCAGCAAGGACAGCAGCAACAGCAGCAGCAGCAGCAGCAGCAACAGCAGCAGCAGCAGCAAGTGCAGTATCATCAGTCGTCCCAGTCTTCTTCTTCCTCGTCACGGAATGTAATCCCGGCGGATGATGATTTGCCCGAGCCACAACCCCTTGTGTATCCCTCCGCCCGCCGTCCAATGACATTTGAGCAAATCTCCTCCTCCAAGATGAGCATGTACGACAATGTACTGTCTGGAGTGAAAGATGAAGAGGAAGAAGAGTAAATGAAGTGATGAAGAAGAAGAAAAAGAAGACGAAGAAGAGCAAGAAGAAATACAAGAACAAGAACAAAAAGGTGAGACAGGTAAAGAACGAGGAGAATGGCCTTGATGAAGAGAAAGAGGGTGGAAAAAGAGAGAACAAGGAAGAAGACCAGTTTGAAGTATCAAAGAGGAGAACGATAAACGGAGAGGCGATGTAGAGAAAAAAGGGAAGTTGAAGAAAGAGTGCAAGTTGACAGTTGCTACTAATGAAGAAGAAGAAGAAGAAGAAGAAGAAGAAGAAGAAGAAGAAGAAGAAGAAGAAGTAAAAGAAGAAGGAGGAGGAGGATAGGAGGATAGGAGAGAAATAACAGAAAAAGAAGAAAAGACCGCAAGGTAGAAGATTTTCCAGATCCTGAACAGGTATCAAAAATCCAGTTTGTCAATGTTTTCATACTTGTGGCTTGACTCTGAATTAATTGTTTGTATACCATTGCCTCTGACCTACCTGGTGCTAAAGATCTGAATACGTGTATATCCCTTATATACATATATTTTCTGTCGTTGTTATCTTATATCTGACACTGCTGTCTTGTTTGTCTCACTAAATCTGATAATTATTAATATTTCAGGTTTTTTCTTTACACATGTGCTATGTTCAATGCTTTTTGTCTCATCAAAATTGACTATTGAAATATATCGTTCTATTGTTGTATTATTGCATGAGCTGGCTGTTGTTTTGCTGAAGATTTTGCAAGGAATAAAATTGTTTAGCAAGGATCATGAGTAGGAATGAACTTAAACATTTTTTGGCCCATTTTGTTCATTCTTTAAGAGTTGAAGTTGATTAAAAATAGATCTAATGGTTTCCATGATCATTTTTTGTACCTTTTATCAAATCACTAAATCTCTGAGAAATTTAATTTACCTGTTCATTGTAATGTAAAGTGAAAACAATCTTCCTCGAGAATGCGTGGATCATTCAGTTAGTTTTTCCCCTAACTATGAAAGAAGCAAGCTAGACAGTTGAAATTCGACTTTAACAATGCCACTTTTCTACATAATCATTAGGCAAGTTGCCACACTTTTGGCATCTTTATTTGAGCTTCAAAAGTTCTTGATGACCTCGGATGGGACTCAAACCATTCTTTCTTCGATTTCAGATATTATTGCATCTTTGTCCCTTTGGAAACGCTGCCCTTTGAGAACTCTGTTAGACTTGGAAATAAAGAAAAGTCAGAGGGTGGTGTATATATTATGGTGAATAGAGAGGGTGTTGGATGTTGATGAATTTTGTAGCTACACATCTTTGTCATCTGAGTAGCCTTCACCGCTCTAGCTGTGCCCTGGAGCATTGCTACATAGCAAGCGGCGTTATCTTTTGGTATTAAAAAACCAAGTCAATTAAAAATGCTCTCAAGTTCTCAAAAACCAAGTCTATTAAAAATGCTCTCAAGTTCTCAAAAACCAAGTCTATTAAAAATGCTCTCAAGTTCTCACCGTTCATTGGAATTTTTTATTCAAAATTCTGTACTCAGCGTTCGAGAAAGATACATACAACATTGTGATTCTCCAAATGTCATAATTGTACGACAATTCCTTTATAGTCAGGGTAAAGAACTACTGAACGCCCCCTCGTACCTCGATGTAATTAAGTTTGTGTAAAATGTACAGGGGGTTCGTTAGTGGGGTGGGTGCGGTGCTGACACCAAAGTTGCTATCGACAGATAACTGTGTGTGCGTGCCTTGTGAATTTAAACAGTAGAATATGTTGAAGACAACTCATGGAATGAATCATCAGGCAAATTACTTTGAATAGTTTTTAATGTATTAAGTTGTCCTTAAACAGCATCTCGCCAGTGAATTTTAATTATTGATCCTAAGGAGGACACGTTCAAACTCCTAAGGATACGAACAGGTCTATCATTTCGAGGCGTGAGGCTCTTGCCGTGTTATGTAGGAAACAAAGAGAAAAGATTTGGAAAACAAGGAAGACAGTAGGTACATCGAAGCAGACATCCCACATGTACTTCTGCGCGTATTTTTCCAGGTGTGCTTTAAAACCGAAAGAGTGTGTTGAATCTCCTGCTGGTGAGTCGTTGGACACCCCGGCCCCCCCACCAAAAAAAAAATAAGGAGATAGGGAGACAACTCATAGTATTGGTTGAACAGAGAGAGTCATTATAATAGTTGCCTCCCCTAGTTAATGAAGTCGCTGACAAGAGCTGTGTCATCTTTCCATGGGAGAAAAATGGGAAGAAAAATTAGCCCCCCTTTTCCTGCCGAACATTTTCAATGATATAACATAATAAATATTATTAATAATGTGTTTATGTAGTCTTTGTTGTTCGTACTGTTTTAGCGAAAACTATGATATTACTGTAACAAACAATATTGTACGCATAAGGCACGTTTTATTTTAGTGTTGATATAATTATTATCCTCAGTTTTGTTCAAAGCTGAACACATAGTAGTACCGGTATTGCTTCCAAACTTTTTTTTTGTAGTGTTGAATAGATACTGTTCACAAGTTATGGGATATTTGTCTCCAACGGATGATGATTTTGTTACATCTGTTTACTAACCAGTGGCTGTGTACAAAAAGGTTGTTGTATATTTAGCGAAAGAGTGAACATATTGGTTATAGACCTATATATAAATATCATAATTTTGTGATGGCCCAAAAATCCATTGCACGCATTTGATGTAAATATTATATTACATTGTATATAAATATGCATTGTGTTGTATACATGTTTACTCTACAATATAGGAAATGTACAGAGAACTTGCTTAAACTGTATTAGAAGGGAAGGGAGAGGCTTTTAATTGGGATAATGCAAAAAATGTATAGACCTAAGGAAAAACGGACATCTTAAGGCTGAAACCGCAATTTGCAATTAATTTTGCGATTTGGAATAATTTTTGTGCTCATGTTGTTACAAGCTTTTCCATTTTTGTATGGTGTGTATTTTATAGTGTACAAACATAATAATGAGATCTCTTGAGCTCCTCAGAAATGTGTACAAAGTGATATTGTCATCTTCAAGCCTGATACGGTACATTTAAAATGGGCAGTGTGTTGTGTTTGTTATTTACGCTATCCGTTACCGCCAGGAAGCACTGACTACAGCATTACATAATTTTTGTACTTCAGCAAGATCAAGCAATAAATCAAGATAATTGTTTTTGTAAGATTTCAAAGCTCTTGTTTCTCCATCTACCCCTCTTCTCCTCTCCTCTCCTTTCATCCTCCACCAAAGATTCTACAGATATATGCCATAATGCAAAAGTCTGTTCAGTGTAAGCAAGATTACAACTTTTTGTAGAGAATAAAGATAAAAAATATGAGCTGAGGGTGAAGATTGAAGAGTGAAGAGCTGTTCTGTTTCTGTACCATGTCCTGGTACTAAGGTGGTTGAAAGTCAGTTTGGCTTTGACTGCTCAATTATTTGAGTGACATGTTTTTTTTGTTTTTGTTTTTGATTATGTGTTCAAAATGCCGTGATAAAGTGGTCTGTTCATTCTTGTTTATGTATGCATGTATGCCAGTGTGTGTGTATGTGTGTGTGTGTGTGTGTGTGTGTGTG